GCTGCTGCTGCCAGTGTCTCCAGCCTGCCTTCCTCCTGCTGCCTGTCCCTGCCCCTGAGGGCACTGTCCATGAAATTGAGGGAGCCCACAGCTGGAGAGGTTTCGGGAGGAATTGGGAACCCCAAGTAGCATGCCATGGTGCAGAAGGTGAGGGTGGGGGGTACACATGGCCTGGAGGGGCATGCAGCCTGCACAGCATGTGACCACTCAAAATGGTCCCTGGCCACTTAGAAGTTGCATCACCCTGGGGTAAGTACAGACAAAACCTAAGAGGGTTCACTCTGTTAAATCTCCTTTGAATTCAGTACTTGTTTACTAAACAAGTACAAATTACTCCTGTCCAGAGGTTCTTCACCTTCCTTTTAAGAGAAGAAATAGGATTGTCACTATACCAGAACAGCAGAAAGGAAAGAGAAGTCTTTTGCCCTTTCCTAGAAATGAAGATACAGCCTTCTAGAGGGGTCCTTCCTAGCTGATACTACCCCCTACAGCTGGAGGGGCCAAGAGACCTGCCATCACTTGTGGCAAGTGGCAGGATGACTTTCCGAGCAAGCCTTTACTGGTAATTGTGGAATACAGTTGCAGAATATACTTCATTGTGGTCCAATATGCATTAGCAACATGACCCCTTTCTTCATAATGTAAAACTGGTTTCACCATGTTTTTAAGTTAACCAAGACCAGAGTTTGAACACTACTGCAAAAAATGCAGTAGATACTGGGAATGTCTAGGTTGGATTTCTAGCATAGCTGGATCCTTTAGGATGATTCCTGTGCATCTATACACTTTGAATAATATAAACTGTGAATGTATTGCAATTACTTTTCCTTGTTTGTTGCTTTCACCACTGGCAGTCTGTCTGCTAATCCATCTCTGTCAGGACACTCAGCCAGGTTCCAGACTTGGAGTAGTTGCTTCAGAGCAGCTGATCCACAAAATCCCACCTGCATCCCTGCCCCATGGCAGTGGATCTAGCAATGGCAGGGGTAAGAAATGGTGAATTAATCTCCAGTCCAATGGCAGCTCAGATGCTACAAAGTTCTGAAACAGTTACATTTTTAGCTATGCATTGTGGCTAATAACTACTGTATGCCATTGGAAAGATCTTCAGATAACATGCTGTATTTATTTCTAGAACTAGTATCTGCACTTGCCACATTCTGATATTGAGATCATGACATCTTCAAATATACCTATACCAAACGATTTCCACTCTTGAACCTGTAAGTGACCAGGTGGAGCCCCTATCAAAGTTTGGAGCTATTAAGCACTTGTAGGAACATTATGTGTACTCTTCAGTTAGCGTTTTGCATGGTTCTTCATTCCAAATTCAGCTTCTTTGCATTACCAACAAGAACAAAATTGCAAATACATAATATCAAAATTGCCTGCCTTTCCATGCCCCTTCTCAACTGCACCTCTTTAGATGTCACTTGTCCTGAAATTGCAAACTCTTCTAGGGAGAGACCATCTTCATGTATTTTGTATAGTGTCAAGCACTAGCACGACTTTTATCTCAATGCCTCTGGGTATTATTATAATACTTTTTTTTTCGGAATACAGCTGATGAAAGCTCTTGAGACGTCAAGTGCTTCACAAGTCATTGGCCCAGCACACCTTGGTGTTCTCAAACATTATTTCTCTCCATTTTTTTCCTAGTTGAATTCCTAATAAAAATGGAAACAATATAAATGGTTTTCTCTGTTCAGCCAGCTGATGGCTAACTGGACCATTGATGCCCTTAGGCTTCTGCTCTGCTACTGATGATAATCAATGTACTGGGTTCTTCTCACACTGACCTTGGGAGTGCTTTGCTGAGGCATTGGTAGCTCTTCTGTATACTGCTGAGGGGGTACTAAGCATAGCTTTCTGCTCTTCGTGCAATTAGTGCATTTAGTCTTCCACCTCCAGGATCTCTGTGAGCAGCCTCTTACCAACTTGGTTCCTTCTGTGAGGCACATGGTACTTGTCTGTACTTGTCTTCTGCCCCAAGAATATACTTTGTTTTCCTATCTCAGGTTTTGCCAATGCACCAAGTGATGCTCCTGGGTTTAGGTTATGATTAGCGTGTTGCTGTGGTGTTTTGGTTTGGTTTTGCAAGGGAGGGGGGGGATTTGCCATCTTCCTGGATGGGAGATGACTCTGGGGATTTAAGTCCCTCTACACAAGGATGTTGGTTACTGTGCAGAGGGCCTGTGATTAGTTTTAAGACCTTGCCTGATGACATGAGACCCTACAGAGAGCACCCACAATTCCTTCCTGTTGCTTCCTGCACATGAAGGTAGCCAGGAACATCTCAAAGGCTATAACTTTGAGACAAAGAGTAGAATTGATCTCTACTGTATTGTGCCAAGATACCATTTATGTTGCCAGCTTTGGTGAAGTCCCAGTGAATCAAGAGGCCTTTTAGCATCACTTCTGTCCTGACATACTCAGCAAAACTCATCAGTGTTGAGATTTCGGTGTTCTTTGAACCATATTGCTCCACTCTAGGTGATACTCAGGATGACTAGTAGCTTACCTTTTAGCAAAGTCCCTTGCTAGCCTGCCTCAAAAGAAAGAGTCTTCATGCACTCACAGCCAAAGTTGATCTTGACCCCTGAGAGCAATCAAATCTGGTTTCTAGTGACAACTACCCTGCAGTACTCTAAATACAGTCTGCACAGGCACTCAACCTGCAGATTCTAGTAGGCAACTAATAAGATGATTCTGCCTTTACACTGAGCTGAATGGCTCGAAGCTGTTAACAGTGTGTGGGCCTGTAAGAGTCCCTTGGTTCCTGTGGAAGTTTTGGCTGTAGTGATGCTGGAAATCCTATTTTTAGGATTCCCAGAGCAACTGAAGCACATCATAATTCAGTTATTGCTGGGACTACTTGCAACAAAGGATTCGGTGTAAGGAGTCTACATGCAGCATCAGCCCTCCCTATCTTACATCAGCGCAGGGACGTGCATAGTTTTGGGCAAGTCTTTGCAACAGAAGAATCGGTATGATGTACATGGGTGAGTTTTCAAAGGCCAAAAATATTTTGCTGCAAAAAGAGGACAAATGTAATGATGGTGTCATTCCAAGAGAGGCCAAAAGGGGGAGAAGGTTGCCAGCTTTACTTGAAAGGTACAGGAAAAAGAGAGGACTGAGATTTGATTAGTTCCAAGATCATAGATTTCATAGACCTTAGGGCTGGAAGGGACCTTGCGAGATCATTGGGTCCAGCCCCCTGCTCAAAGGTAATCATCCAAATGCTTCTTGAAGATGTCCAGAGTAGGTGCTTGCACCACTTGAGGGTGGAGTCTATTCCAGACTTTGGAGACTCAGACAGTAAAGAATTTTTTTTCTTATGTCCTGTCTAAAATGGTCTTCCAGCAGTTTGTTGACCTTT